GGTTCGAGAATCGAATATCATCTTGTTTGGGACCAGTTTGATTCTGTTGGCACTGCATTTTTATAGTTTGTTATCGCTTGGTAATCATAGTGTAAACTCGTTGCTTGTGATCAAGTCATTCGCAGCGAGCCCTTGTGTTGAAAGAAGAACTATTCCTAGTGATTTCAATGTGCAGAATAATGTCGTTAGAGGGTCCACCTAGTTCGAATGCACAAAAGTAGTTGGGCTAGTGAGTTTCAGATATCAAATGGTTAAATCGGGGAAAGTAAAGAATGTATGTGGATCCTATTGATCTAGTGGACCCAGGCTCCTCTGGAAAATTGAACCTGGTATGATCTAGTGGCCAATGAAGTGCAATGAGAACGATGAGGTCTCAAATTCGAATTCAGCAGAAGCAAATATTATTACTCAGTAGGAGACTTTTTCCATCTGCTTAAAGCTGTCCAACAATGATAACAACACACCCAGAGTAATCCCACAAATGATATTACTCAAATTTTATGTCCCACAATTCTAACTATTTTCCAAGTTCATTTACCCCGGTTTGGTAGCTTGGAGGTGAAAAACTAACACAAAACTACCATAAACACACAAACTACTGGACACATACATTAAGGCCAGAAAAAGTTTAACACCATTCTGTTCTTCAACCATTTTGCCAACAATTTCATCAACTATTCTGCTCGCCAAAGACTGATCTTTAAGCTCCTGGATTCACTAACTAAAATACTGTCAACTAGAAAGTACAATAAACTTTACAAGTTCGAGCATTGATTGCAGGTGGTTCGTCTATGTACAGGTATGAGTGTTCTTTTTTTGTTTCCTGCTACATTGCGAAGTTGAAATTTTGACTGCCACTTTGGTTTTGAAAGCTGCTTTGAGGAGGGACTGGGTTGGTATCCACTGCAGTTGTAATATCATGGATGCTGGACCTTTTCCGTTCTTTCTTCATCGCCTGTTGTCTAATGAAGTATTTTTGAGCATGACTAGCCACTTGCGTTGGTGTCCTTGATACCACTACGTTTCTTGAAATGCTTCTCCAGTCACCCTTCCCGTATTTGTCCAGACCGATAAGGAATAACCTATGCAAGAATATTAGGATTTTAAGTCTCATAACAGCCATAGAACAGCAAAATCGGTTATAAACACCAACAATAACTACACCTCAAATAACAGCTATAGAACAGCAATGTCAGTTACACAATTAAGTATAACAGCTCTACTATCTTATTATGTTTATACAAGCAGCTGTGCGGACTCTTCAAAAATGTTGTCACGCCAGTGTTGGATCCTCCAAAAATGCCTACTTTTGGAGGACCTGACATGTACCCGTCTTCATTTTTGAAGAGTCCGAGCAATGAAGTTTATAAGTACTCTAGTGATATGAGCCCCCGACCCTCTAATGGCAGGGACAAGATTAACTACTCTTCAATCCCAAGCAAGTTAAGAGTTGGTTATATGAAATGGGACAAGAATCTGTCAAAAAGCTCTTTAAGATCATATTTGCAATCACCAAATTCACCATACCACTAAATCACAATCAAACAACCCTTTAAATGATCTAAATTGTGAACATGAAAACTGCCAATGTCTATCAAAAATGGTCAATTTACTCTCATGTTGATCAAGAGGCCGACTATCTCAATCTGAAACAACAGTCCCCACCACCCTCATGGCCAAAAATCACCATTTTGCTGCACGAATGTTAGCTTCGAGTGGGGGTATAAAGAAGAGACAAGAACAATAAGATATAGGACGGATTACACAAATGAGAAGGAAATTCAAGTTGTATCAGTTTACAAGTTCAGAAATCAAAAGAAAATGTAATTCTTGAATAGGACTACTCTTAGGCAGATAGTTCTCTAAGCATTTTGGCTAAAGATAAACAGTAGAGGATGATTATGCTTAGGCAGCCATTGAACAAAAATAGGTACATTTTTCATATGTTGCTCGAACTTTCAAAAAATGTTGCCGCACAGTGTCGGATCCTTCAAAAGAGCACTACTTTTGGAGGACCCAACAAGCATTCATCTACATTTTTTGAAGAGTCCAAGCAACATAGCATTTCCCTTCTTTTTCTCTTTTGATGGCTAAAAAGGAGTTCTTTTTCCCACTGAACAAAGCAGAAAGAAAAATGCCTAACTAAAACCAAAGGAGACTCATTTCCGAGCCAAAAACTCCGCCATTAACAAAAAGAGAGTCTATTTGTCCTACTGATCAAAGCAGTAAGAAAAAAAATGCGTAAACTGAAATCAGAAGAGATCCAATTTCCTAGCCATAACAAACAAACAAACAAATAAGAGAAGAATTAGTCAAAATACTGTTATTCTATATTCACTCACATTCCCGATTAAAAAAAATAGGTGATAAACATAACCAACAACCCTAATTCAACCTTAAAAGATAAATATAATCCACGAAGATTGTTTAATTGCATTTCCATATTATCAAATTAAACTTATAAACTTAAAAATCTTCAACCTGACTCTGGATGAAGAGGATTACTCATAGGCAGTTCATTGGAAAAGAAAAAAGTACCTTTTTCCTGATTTTTTTCCTTTGATGAGTAAAAGAGTCCTTTTTCCTCACTGATCAAAGCAGAAAGGAAAATGCTGAAATTGAAACAAAAATAGACTCATCTCCTAGCCAACAAACTCCACCATTAACATTAGGTGATTTCTTCCCATCTGTTCTAGCCTTTGTTGCTGGTGTGACGTGACAGTTATCCCATGGAATTAGAAGAGGTACAGGCAAGCTAGCCTAGACACCATGGTTATCAAAAAAGGTAGTACCTTTTTCCTAATATTTCTTTTGATGAGTAAAAATGAGTCCTTGTTCCTCACTGATCAAAGCACAGAAAGGAAAATGCTGAAATTGAAACAAAAATACTCATTTTCCAAGCCAAAAAACTCCACCATTAACACTAGGCCATTTCTTCCCATCTGTTCTATACCCTTGATAGAAAGAGTTACCGGTACTTATTGTTGGTGTTACGTGATAGAGGTATCCCATGGTATAAGTCGAAGTACGGACAAGCAGGCCTTGACACCACAGTTATAAAAAAAAAAGTACCTTTTTTTCCAGACTTTTTTTCTTTTCATGAGTCCTTTTTACTCACTGATCAAAGCAAAAAGGAAATGCTGATATTGAAACAAAAATAAACTCATTTCCAAGCCAGCAAACTCCACCATTAACACTACATGATCTTTTCCCCTTCTATACTCAGTGGACAGAGTTACATGATCTCGCGAGATACGAGGTACATGCAACCAGGCTCGGACACCAACAACAACAACAACATACCCCGTGAAATCCCACTAAGTACGGAAGCTGGATCGGACACCACGGTCATAAAAAAAAAATTATTCTATATTCAGCCACATTTTCAGAAATGATAAACACACATCTGAATAGGTTATAAACAAAACCCATAATACCAAATTCAACATAAACACTAATTTTCACCTGATAAACATAATTAAACCCAAAAAATTTCAAATAGCAAAATTGTACCTGTGTTCATCTTCAGTCCATGGTGTACCCTTTTTCCTCTCAATTTCATTATTCTTCTTGTTTGATCCCGATGAAATCTGGCAATCGCCTTCCAATTCAACCGGATCATCCGTATAGCTCGGTAGATCAATCCGACCGGAATCAATTTCAAATACATCGTGAACAAGGTCATCGTAATGAGCCATGATATCGTCGGCGGTTTTTCCGGGGACATGATCGGCGATCAATTGCCACCGGTCGGCGACGTTTTCAGGGTACAAAACCAGGCCGTGTTCGAAGAGCTTGTCGTCGTCCCTCGTCCATGTCGACATTGAATTAGTCGGCGCTGTTGAATCGCCGATTGGGATTTTTTGGTAAATGACAGAATGGCTAAAAGAGGAGGACTAAAAGAGAAAAGGTGTCTTTTTCTTTTTCTTCAAATTTTTACCCTTAATTAATGTAGTGCTCGTTTGGTACGAGAGATATGAGATAATTAATTTTTAGATGGGTTCATTTTATATTTAGTCGGACAAAATCGTGGGATAACTTATTTCAAAATTGTAATGTTACTTTTATGAGATCCACATTAAAGATGAAATAACAATTATGAAATTAACTTGTTCCTCAATCAAACGAGTTTATACAATAAGGGTGGGGGGGGGGAGCGAATTGGTTAAACAAGGAATCTCAATGGGAAAGTCTTGAGTTTGACCTACATGTGTTTTTTGTGGGGTATATAGCTTATAGTATGAGATTTACTTAATGCAATTTATAAATTCTATGTTGTTTGCGAGCTATTTAGTGAAGTAAATTTTGCATAATTAAAGAATAGCGGCAAGAAGTTGAATTAAGAATATTTATGGATAAAAATACGCTTGAGATTCGTGTTTCATACATAATAGTACTTGTATTATTAATCACTTTAAAACAATGCATACATTTGACATTTTAGATTAGTATCTTTATTAACATGTTTGATCATTTTTCTTATCTATTCGAATCTCAAGTGGAGATCACGTATTAGGATAAAAGGTTAGTAGCGTAGAGGATTGTTTTGTCTTGTGAAGGTGTAGACTTATTAATGTTTGTCATAATATTAGTCATACCCTTGTAGTTCTTGCGATGGGTTGTTTATTGCTATGCTTTTGTCGTTATTTTCTTCTTTTACTTGGACTTGATGCACTTGAGTTGATAGTCTTTCGGTAATAGTCTCTCTCCGTATACTCTACCTTCCCCAGAACCCAACTTAATGAGATTGTACTGAAAATGTTATTGTTATTGTATTTGAATCTTAGTCAATAAAATTATTTGATATTTGTATCGTTGAAAGGTAAAAGATACTCTGCAACATTAGTCGAGATACGAACAAACTACCCAAAAATAACAAAAATCAAAATGTGGGCCAAGTAAAATTGGGTCCAAGCCCATTAGTATTTCCTTAGCTTAGTAAAGCCCAAAGTAAACTTTTACAAAAAACCCCAAGCCCAATAAAAGTCCAGATATCCACAAACACAAAAACCCTAATATAGTCTTCACCATTGCTGAAAAAAATCACAGAGTATCAGTTGCCTCACACACGAAGGTGATTCTTCGTCTTTTTGCTGCAATTCTCTGTGAGTTTTATAGCTTTATAGCTTTATTTGATCAAAATGCTTAAGGATTTGAAGCAAATTTTATTTACTTTGCTAAAAACTAATAAAATCCATGTATGAACCATTTTTCTTCAATACAATGTGTTTTTGTGTTTATGTGTTACTATTTACTGTTTGCGAGCTATGGATTTTGAGCGATACAGGTAATGTGTACTGGTAAGTTGACGCTGTGTGAAAAAGATAGGTTTTTTTTTTGAACTTGTTGAGTTGTTATGTGTTGTTGTAGATATTTGATAATAGTGGATTATTTGAGTTGCGTGCAAGTTTGCCCGTACATTATTATCAAAAAGTAGTCTTTGATAACAAAAAGATTTAGTGTAAAATGAATATCTGAATACTTAAATGAATGACCCGTATAGTGTGGAACGAATAAGAGGGTTTGTATAACATTATATTGCTCTATATTAATAGATACATTTCTGTGCTTTATGTGATCACAATGCCTTTAGGATTGAGCAAAATTATTTAATTGCCAAGAGCTGTTAAAATCCATATGTTTTAGGGTACCAGTATGTTTTCAATACAACCTCTTTGTGTATATGTGTTCCTGTTTGTTTTCTGTTTGTTGCTGGCTATGGATTTTGAGCAACACAGGTAATCTGTCTATTTGAAATTTGGAAAACTAGTATGGGGAATGGAGAGTGTAGTGGCAGGTTGACTGTAATTTTTTTTAAAAATTAGTTGAATATGGCACCAATGTAACTGCATTTGCGGTCGATGAAGTTGGAATGAACCATGGTGTACCAGGGTTCAAATCACAACAACGATAAAAACATTGTAGTTTAGGTGATCTTTTATCATTTGTCGAGTGGAGATAGGTAGCACCTGGTGGATTAGCCGAGTTGCGTGCAAGCTTGCCCAAAGATATTGTAGTGGTAGATTTAAAAGATAGTATAAGATGTTGCTCAGGAGTGTCGCTCTGTGGTCAATGGAATGAACTGTGGTATCCCACAGTCAAAATCATAACATTGATAAGAAATAGATAGGTGATTTTCTTCCATTTGTCATGCTGGTACTTGTGTTGGTAGGAGATAGTTGGTACCTGCTGGATTAGTCGAGTTTCCAATTACCTTGCCGAAGGAGATTGATGCTAGTGTAAAAGATAGTCTAAGATGGTACCAGGAGTATCGTGTAGCCGTTAGTGAAGACGGGATGAACAATGGTATACAAGGGTCCAAATCACCACTATGGTAAAAAGTAGTTAAATGATTTTTTTCGTTTCTTGAGTTGGTAACTGTGTTGGTGGGAGATAGATTGGCACCCTCTGGATTAGTCGAGTTTCGTGCAAGCTTGTTTGGGCAGCATCATAGTAAATAAGTAATCTTTTAGCATTCTTGTATCTAGAATTGAAATTTTAATAATCTTGTGTTTGGGCTATTAATAGTATACAAGATTGGTTGTTCAAGACATTCAAAAATTCCATTGCGCAATTTCGTGAAGTTGAAGTTCTAACAGTCATTGCAATTGGTCATAATCAGTTCATCTGGTTTTCTGTAGAACAGAGGGTAATGGTTGCTCTAGGATTATACTTACATCCAGTAATTGGGATTGCTAAATGAAGCCTAGTGTATTAACCAGCACAACAGATTACAGTTATAGCAGGTTGGCCTGAGGACTTGGAAGGCTAGTGTCATATTAGTTGTCTAAGCCGATGTGCCTTTTCCGAGCCTATCCCCATGCAAATTGGTCTAGTTATGTAATTATTTTCTCCATAATGCTATCTGGGAACAAAAGAGAAAATAAAAATGCATCTTTTAGATTCATGCACTGATTCTTGTTATAAAGGCTTTCCTTGAGCTTAAAAACTATTTGCAGACCTGAGAGCACAGATTATACCATGTAGCTTAGGAAAGTTAGCTTCTCATTTTTGTAAGGACTAAGGAATATGCTTCACAGGTGTTTATTTTGTACGTTAAGACTTAATAAATCGCAATATTTGATAAAAATATTCAGATTCACGGGAAAATGAACTACGCATCAGCAAATGTTCTTGTCCCAGGGAAAAGATTAATGATGAATAACTAGAGGCATTAATTTTTTTTTGATAGGTTACTGACAAACATTAATGCAACAGGTTTCGTCTAAGGAAATTCTGCAAGGATGGGTCGTGTGCGCACCAAGACCGTGAAGAAGTCATCTCGACAGGTAATTGAGAGGTACTACTCCAAAATGACTTTGGATTTCCACACAAACAAGAAGATCCTGGAGGAAGTTGCCATAATTCCTTCCAAGCGTCTCCGCAACAAGATTGCTGGATTCTCCACTCACCTCATGAAACGTATCCAAAAGGGACCCGTTCGTGGCATCTCCCTGAAACTGCAAGAGGAGGAACGTGAGAGACGCATGGACTTTGTTCCGGATGAGTCTGCCATCAAGACTGATCTCATTGAAGTTGACAAGGAGACCCTTGACATGCTTTCAGCCCTCGGCATGTCTGACCTTCCAGGCGTTGTCAAGCAAGCCGCTGAGCCACAAGCAGTGGCAGCTCTCCCAACATATGGTCGCGGTGCAGGAGGTTTTGGACGGAAATACTAATAAGAGAACAGTTGCAATGATCTTATGGTCTATTGAAGAAACTTTTTGGTAGATTATATGTTAGTTTTCCCTAATTTTTCTTTTAAGGAGTCTTTGAAACTCATTCCAGTGTTTTGAGACATAAATGATGAACAACCCCCTTTTTGTGTTAAAATGCATTTCATACATTATTCTTCAATTACTTTCATTTTGCTGCTGGCAAATCTTCCATGTGTTAATGGGAATATTTGTTCGAATACTCGTAACTCGTAAGTGAGGCTTATTTGGGTCGTGTTAAGGTAACAAGATTTATAATACTACACACACCTTTAGATTAAGATCACAAGATTTATAATACTACTCACGCCTTTAAATTATGATCACATAATTCAGAAGTTTCTTTTGTTTCTTATATTTTGGCACAATCAAATTAACACACTTAGATTAAAACGAAGAAAGTAGTATGGTATCTAGCTATAACAAAACTACTTAATAACTAACAAAGGTTGTGGTGGAGTGTTAAGTACTCCGTTGTTGGTGAAGGTCTCGGGTATGGAGTCACCTCTGTTATGTTAGAGAGCACTTTACCCCTAATGTGGGACTTCTGGACGCGAATCCAAATTTAGTCGAACTCCAATATGGGTACCAGAAATCGAGAAACAAAAAAAAAAACTACTTCATAGAGTTTTGGACAGAAAAACCACCAGTACATTGACCAGCAAACAGTACTTAATAATTAATTAGTTTCCTTAATTAATCATTAGTACTTTCCTTGAGCATGCTAACTAATAATACCACATCTGAGTCAGACTTATCATTATTGGTTCTTGTTTAAATTTTAGCATACCCGCCTCAATCACACATTAGGAAGTCCTTAATTGACTAGCGATATTTGAATCAGTTTACGTATATGTCGATTATTTTACTGAATATTTATATATTATCTTTCATTACTATATATATCGAATAATTCTATCAACTAAGGCTTTTGTCTTTACCATATTTTAGTTGCCTGTTTGGCCAAATTTCTGAAACGTTAATAATGTTCATTTTCAAATAAGTAAATATATTTTTAAAATAGGAAGGCATTTGACCAAGTTTTTTGATGAAGAAATAAGTGCTATTGAAAATAATGGCCAAACACATAACTACTACACTAATTAATAAAACGTCTTTTTCAAATAATTTAGCTAAACACAAAATGCATGTTTAATAAGAAGTATTTCTCAAAAATAAATTGATTTTCAAAGTTTGGCTAAATAAATTATAAATTCCGATCTTTCATATTTTTCACTCACTTCATTTACCGCCAGAACACATTAGTTGACTTCTATTGTATTTCTAACAAGTAACAAGTATGCATGGAACTTGCAAATCCTTAGTTGTTTAATTATTTATCAACATTAATTAGACTCTCTTGTTACATTAAGGGACATAATCTCTTAATTAATTGGATATTTTGAGATTAATTAAATTAAAAATGATCTTCCCAATCATAGAGGGTTAAGGTGGCATGTGCCCCCTAATTGTCCATACATGCATTTGTATAAATCATTAAGACTGGTAGAAAGGGAACCAAAACAGTTCATAAACATACATTATTTTTGCCCCTACAAAAAAAATCTTTTTTAAATTTTAAGAAATAAAATCAATATAATAAGTCCAAAATTCTAATTAACTTGTTAACACAAATATTTTAATTACACGAGTGAAGGATCACCAGAAGTTTCTTGTTAATTTAAGATTATTTACTTAAAAAATAATAATTGACTTTTAATAAATAAATAAATATTGAACCATTGTTGGAACTTTGCACTTGGCAAACTAATGTCTTTTTATTTATGTGTGATACATAAACATGATTCTTAAATTTGGTTCAGCTGACAACTATGATTTTTAATTTTGTCAATGTACAAGTAGGCACTATAACTATTCAAAACTTGAACAAATAAACACTCGAATTCGACTGGAAAAATTAGGTTCAACTCCTAGAATAAAAAAAATTATTTTGCGATTTGCGAGCATTACTTTCAGAATAAATCATGTTATATATATGAATTCAAATTTAATCGAACCAATATAAATATCGAATATCAAATTAAAAAAACAGTCATCATAAGTTATTCATGCATGCAAAGTGATGAAACTCAGGCAGTTGATAAGGTTGCATCACAGAAACTGAAATCTTACCATAATTTTGGTGAATATTAACAACTCTCTTTCAACTAATAATGACATATTGTGTTTTCTTTTAACTTGTGGACAAACTTATGTATCTTATTCTTAAAAAAAAAACTCATAATTTTTAAGTATTGCATGTGGCTACATTTTCTATTTGAGACGACTCTATGATTTGATGTTTACGAATTTTATAATTATTCAGAGTAAAATAGTTTTAGTGAGTAAGTAGATTTCTTAATATATATAAGTTCTGGATTTTGAGACATGGCGATAAATATAATGATTGAGTTCATAATATATTAGTTATACATATTCCAGTAATTTTCTTAAAACAAACACATGATTTTAAGATAAAATACTGAATCTTATAGAATCTATAACTTTTATAATAAAAGTGTCTGTCTCTAATTTTGTAATTTTCATAGATCGTTAGTTAAATAGAAGACTCTGCTAAATAGAAGCTCGGATATTTTCTTAAGTATCTTATAATGTTTATTTGCGTATCAATTTGTGGCCGTTGGGATGTCTCTAATAGAGTTGGGGAAACCTTTAATATATAGTTTATATTTTGTGCATAATTCTTTTTAAAAATATATATATATAGTATTAGATTAAATTGACTTATAAAAAGTAAGTGAATTACGTAGCAATCCTAATACGATAATTTATAAAATAGAATAATAATTTGTTATAACTGATAATGATAATCTAACCATTACTTCTTTTTTATAAAAAAAGTAGCTATGAATTTGTTGCTAAATTAATACCTTGTCGATCACTAAACATGATTTCTTGATAAATTTTAGATAATTTGTGCTAATCGTCGTTAAATAGAATTAACAATGATTTTTTTTTAGTTTAGAGTCGGCATTATATAGTCTGAGTTTATTTATATTGCGAGTCTCGATCTCCGATAGACCTGTAGTAGGTTGACAACCAGTTTAAACTTGTTAATTAATAATAATGAAAAAGTAAGATATGTTTCTACAGTCGATCAACCCCAACTTATTTAGGACTGAATTGTTATTGATGAAATTTATTCATTAATTTTATTTTTTTTATAGTAAAAGTAAGTATATATATATAACTTAAAATCTATAATTAATGAACTCATTGCAAGAAGAGGAAAATATAGTGATATAAAAGCAAAATAATAATAATAATAATAGTAATAGTACTACCATACTATAAAATTTTGAAATTCAGTCCTTTTCTGAATTCTGACCTCTTTTATTATATTGCCAAGGACAGTCATGTGTAATATATCTTATAATTTTTTTTATTTTTTATTTTTTATTTTTGTAGAAGAGTTGTTAATATTCCCATAAATAACTCACATGACGTCTGCCTATTTTTTTCTTTTTTAGGTAGTCAACTTAATTATTACCACATGACATAAGTTTCATAATTATGACAATTAACTCCTTTTCCTTATACTACTAGATAATGTTGCCCGTGCTATGCACGGGCCCAATAATATAAATGGTATATTTTGGGGCTAATAATCGAGTTTTTGAAGTGATTGTTTGCGTGGATAAAGGAATAAGTTTTTTTTTATCACAAACATGTACTTTCTTTGACGCTATTTAAGGCATAATAAGACTACTCACATACAACATTTTTGATATTTTATGTTGTCAATTATCATGATTTATAGTATTTTTACAATAGATTCACTTCAAGAATCAAAGGAATTTTTTGTATTTTTTTTCAAAACATATTTTATGTTGTCAATTATTATGATTTATAGTATTTTTACGGAATTTTTAAATATAAAAAAAATAAGACAAATAAATTAAAATGGACCCAATATATGTTATTTTTGTTGTCTCAATTTATGTGACACAAATGAAATTTGGAGAGTCATCCAAATTTTCATATTTTTTTTAAAAATGTTTGAAGTTATTAATTATTGTGATTTATAATATTTTTATGTAACTTTGAAATAATGTACATTACTGGTCACTTTGTCCTAATTTATGTGATATGGATAAAATTACAAAATTAACCCTTTTAAAATGTCTTTCAGATATTTTAAGTTGTTAATTATTATTATTTATAATACTTTTTTGGTAATATTAAAATGATATGTGTTATTTTTTCTGTCCCAATATATGTGAGACTGATAGAATTCTGAGAGTGAACCTATTTTATTATATAGCTTTTAAATATTTTAAAGCTTTTTAAGTCATTTGTAAATGATATATGTTGCTTCCTTGATTGGGATTTTTCCATTTGTGAGATATATATATACATATTCTATATTATTTTAAAAGGGAGTTTATGCCCAAGTTCTACTATATAATAAATATAATATATAATATTCAAGAAACTTCATTTTAAAAGTCCCACAAGTATAATATATAATATTCAAGATTGGGAAAAGTCCCAATCTTGAGTATTATATATTATATTTAGGCCTAATCTCTCTTTTATAATATAGTAGAAATATAATTGACCTTAAGCATGGTTAATATTTTGCAATACTATTTACTTATTAGTCGATTTAAAAAAAAATTACATTTATTATCACATTAATCTCTCTTTAAGATAATATACGTCTCGATCAAAAAAGGATAAATATAAAAGTCATTTGGCATACAAATCATTCTACATTCACGTAGAGTCTGAAGAAGGATCGTATCCTTTCATCCTACCCTGATAGGCAGACACAAGTATTAATAGTTGATTTCATAGTTTAAGTTCGTGATCTATAAATCAAACGAAGATAATTTTATCATTACTCTGAAATTTTCCTAGGCAAGAAGATAGGAAACTCCCTTTGGTATATTATTGTATATGATGTATGAGGACACATCTTATCACAGATCTTCCATTGAAATCTTATACCCAACATTATTATATTATAATATATTCATGAGTTGTACATGAAATGAGAGATTAAGACATTAAACAATAATGGAGACTGCAATTTGTTGGTTAAGCACACTTGATTAAAAAAAAAGATTTTAAGTACAGCATTGTTTAATTTCAGTTGACAAAACAATAAGCAAGTAATACTATGTACTATTCTTTTCCTTTTGATTAAGTAAAAAAGTGGTGTATTTTTGGATGATCTGATATGAACGCGATAATAATTTTAGAGAGTACGAGTAATGTATGTGTTCGATATTTTTTATGAGATTTCGACTAATTTAAATTTTCTCCACACAAGTCTTTTTGTTTAGGGAAGAAAAGTACGATTATGTTTTACTGTGACTAATTTAAATTTGCGCTGCCTAAGATTTCTTGTTAAGAATAGAAAAATACTATTATGTGTTACTTTCAAGGTTCAAACTCATCATGATCTCTTGTTAAGAATGGAGAATCAACTCTCTATATAATAACAAAAATAATAACAAGTCAATAATATATTCTGTGTAATCTTATAAAGTAGGATTTGGAAATGATCGGTTATATATAAAATTTACCTTCATCTTAAAGATAGAAAAATTATTTCTGATAATTCCTCTTGGCTTAAGAAAAATAATAATCAATTTTTATTAATATTTATTTTATTCACAGAGTTCGAACCTGAAACCTCAAGCAGACAAGTACTACTATATTCATTTGCATTTAATACTAATAAATTCTTCAGGCCAACAATTAAATACGCACATGAAATGTCCTACTACTCCCATTTCCTATCCACCTTCCTCTCTCTCCCCTTCATTATATACTTAAAACTCACAAGTTTTCATCTAAAAACACAAAACTCCATTAAAACTCTATACTCATCAAGAACTTAGAAAAAAAAAAATCCCAAAATAAAAAAATCCCAAGTTCAAAACTTTTACAAATATGGCCAAAAAATTGAAGATCTCTTCTATTTTCAAGAAAAAAGAAATAGGGCTAGCCACTTGGCAATGGCCATCTTGTACACATTCCAAGACTCTATCTTTTAGAGGTGATGACAAGATTTTCAAAACTATAAATTCAGTATTCTTTGACCCTTTTGATGGAATTGAAACCCCACAATCTTATTCCACAAATTCATCATTAGATACCAATAGCATTTCAATAGAATCCCATGAAGAAATCATAAAAGGGGCTAGATCAGAAAGGCTATTTTTTGAACAAGTGGCTACAAGTTCAATTTTTCAAGAACCAAATCAAGAACCACAAGAGGAAAATCAAGAAAATGATTTGCCATTTAAAGAGAGTGTAATTTTGGCTATGGAATCAAAAGATCCTTATTTGGATTTTAAGAAATCAATGAAGGAAATGGTTGAGAGTCAAGGGATTAAAGATTGGGATAATTTACAAGAATTATTAGCATGTTATTTGAAATTAAATGGTGAAGTAAATCATGGTTTTGTTTTAGGTGCTTTCGTCGATATGCTTATGGAACTTGTTATCCCTACTACTCCGAGTACTAATTCGGATAATTCAATTACTTCTTATTCTTCTGTTGCTTCTTCTTCTTTTTCTTGCCCCTCGTCTCCTCTGTCTTCGTTAGGACATAAAGAGACAGAGGAGCAAGAAAATGCAAAAGTCCCCTAAGATATAGTGTAATTTTTTATTGGTTATTCATAACGTAAAGAAAGTTTTCTTCTGGTTCTGTTGTTTGTTTTTACAATTCAAGAAGACTTGACAGAAATTGCTAATTGGATTGGTTCAATACGACTTCTCACTCAGAATTCGTCCTTCTTCAAAAGTAAGAAAGATGACTACTTCAACTCCATCTTAACGAGCGATACCATCTAAGTACATTTTCCATAGTCCTCCGTATAAGTCCATTGGCTCAAGTAATTCAGATTCACGTCTAGTTGACTCACTTTCTATCAAATGGTTTTTTCACTCCAAAAAAAGAAATTTGAGGTATGTGGTTAAAAATTGAGGACTCAAAACTATCATGTCACACCGCTCAATGATGATGTAATCACATTTTATGTATATTATTACAAATGCAACGGTTATTAATTTTTATCTGGCTTACACCATCGAGGCGGATATACCATGACCCAAGTGGCGTCACAGGACATTGCTTCGTTGAATTTAATCACTATGTACATATATAGATAATCAATAAAATGAAAATGTTATTTTGTTTAAATATAAGAAACGTTGCCATTTATCATTTTAGTGATATATTTATTTGTTTACCTTTTTAAATTTTGATATTATTAATTAAAAAAAAAATTACGTACGCCACTGCATCCTACCCACCACCAGAATAAGTAAAATGAAACAAAAATATTCAAGAGACACACTTAAAAAGTCATAAATTGGAACAGATAAGGTAACGATAAGTGTTTTTTATCCCCTATTTTATTCCATAAAAAAAAAAAATTTGATATGGTTGCTGAAAATGTAAAGTTTTGATGTCACTTTTTTGTTTGAATAAGACAATTGCACTCACCCTTTTCAAAAGAAACAACAAAATGTGTCTTGCACTCCTCAAAAAGTCATAAATGCATATTTGCGCGATAAGATCGCGTATAATAGATTCTTGTAATTCAATTCTTCTTTGGATTACATACATAGCCAAAGGTGGAGTCAGCGTAACACAACAAGATTCATCATTTGAATCTTTTTCATCAAAAAAATTACAATATATATAGCAAATATTGAATCTCTTTAATTTGTTCGTGTGTTATCCAGACATATAATTCTTCTACTTACATGTGGCTCTGTGATTAATAACATATAGTTATTAAATAGTCATCAAGATACACATAAACTTATTTTAGCTTTATCGTTACATGAAAAAACGTAGAAAAATAAGGTGTTCGACTGCTTACAAAAGTATCACGTGATAACAGAGCTTGGAGGACACAAGAAATTCTTGCGATCAATCCTTTCATCGAAAAATTATACTATAATGATTTTATATGACTATAAAAACAGTATAAGATATGATCACATGATCATGTGGTAGCAGTTGAGAAGTTCATGACATGATCATGTGGTGTGAAAGAGAGTACAATTGTTTGTACAAATTCAGTTTAAATTAGTTTTATTTATATGTTGCTGAAAACAATTTTTTTTTTATATTATTAAAAAAAAAAAACAGCCTGGAATGACAAAAATATAGGACCATCTTGCACCCTTTACAATATTACCATCAATCATCTAACATAATGTCTGCCTAAAGTACTCTCCCCACCATTATTTGGACCTTTTTTTTTATAACGATCATGTTCGAGTCAGTTTGTAGAAACTTCAATTATCAAAGAGTACTTGTTATTACCTTTACTTAGCTCATGTTACATGTATCAGATAACTCAATCTATATAGAAGAGCCAGTTATTTCTCTAAGGAGATTTAAAATATAAAGAAGCAATTTTATATAAAGAACACAAATGAATCAGTTTCTACTATACATACATAACAAATAATGATAACGTCAATATTTTCAGTAAGAGGATTCAAAAAATAAGGAGAGAAGCACACCAAGAGGCCCAGGAGATTCGACATTTATAATAAATACATATCCAGTGAAGGAGATTCAAATGAATTTCCAACCTCGATCACAAATGTTACTGACTTTGTATATGCAGTGTAATTTTCCGACCTTTCCACCACCTAGTTCATCTCTGCCTATCAAGACTTATATGAATGAAAAGAAGTCACCTAACGTTTTTTTTCTTATCCACTGAAATTTAAACATTGATCTATCTCATATAATGCCTATGCAATTTTTTGACAGATGGGCCACACCCATGAGTGATATTATTTGGGACCTTGTCTTTTAAAGTATATGATATAATAATGCATGCATGTTTTAGTTGAGAATGGAGATCCAAATGAGCTGAAATTTGTATATGACATAGAATATGGTGTCTTTTGTGAATGATGAGATAATATTATATTTTATCAAGGATGAAACATGAGGATTTTCCATATTTATGTAGGCACCAACCATCTTAAATAAAATCTTTTTAACTTTTTTTCTATTAATCAACTGATATTCGATATTCACTTACCTCAACTAGTTCGAGATTGTATTGCGCTTGGGAAACTCTCATTATTAGGAATGTTCTTAGAATCAACAGTCAAACTCGAAGCCTCTGATTAAAATGAAAAAATCTCATCTGTTACGATAAAACTCTTGATGGTAAATAAAATCTTACATTCTTACTAGTTTACTAGTTTCCATTTGTCTTCAGCCCATTATTGGGGAGTTAGTTCATGAGACTTTGCCTCTATAGTTGCTTGTATAACTTACGAGTTCAACTGAGCCCAATAGTTTTGACTCAAAATTTATAAGAGTGCTAAAAAACGGTTAAACAAGTGAAAATAATATGTTTCGTTTCGCGCCTTGGAATTATAACTCATGAAGTTGAAATCCTGAATCTGATTTTGTTAATGCTAGCACCAGACAAAAATGAGTTTTAATTTTGTCTTTTTTTTTTTTTTGACATCATGAAATAATTGTACTCATCCTCACATGCTTGGAAGCTGAATAACAGGCAATATGAGCCCATGAAACTGACACAAAATGGCCAGGGGTTAAGTCCAACTTTCCTGTTGAAGCCAAAAGAAAACACATACAAACAGTTGCTCCAATAATGGAATTCCAATATTGAATTCACAAGTTTGTTAGAGAAAATGTTTGTACTCAAGTTGTATTGTGAGTGAGGACTTTTTAGTCACAATATTATGCATTATATACAACACAGAGGCGGAGGCAAGATTAGAAACGAAAAAAAGAAAATGTCGCGACTGAAAGTCAAATCTCTGACTTAATACTATGCTTGGTGGGATGGTAAGTACCCTTCCATCCTTAACCAAAGGTCTCGTATTCAAAATGACAATCACTATCAACAACTGCTTAAATTACTTTACAAAAGTTCTACTTTCATTATTGCAATGAGAGAAGAACAATGTGGACATAGTTTTGTTCCCTATATTTTTTTTTTTTATGACAAGGGAAACCTGCAGCCGCTACCCTTTGGGTGCGCACAGGGTAAAACCCCCGCTCCTATGCAATAGCTCGCAAACCACATAGGAGAGGTAACCCGCACTAGGCAAGCCTGGTGCGACGAGCTCGACCCAGAAGGCAAATCCCTTGCTTTCGCTGGCAAGGGGTTTCGAACTTGAGACCTCCAACATGGAAGTCCCAAGCTCAAACCACTGGGCCACCCCGAAGGGTTTGTTTTGTTCCCTATTATCATTGAAACCTTATGGGGACACTAATACTTTCTCCCTTTCTAACCACAACTAGCCTCTAACAAGAAGATATGGGGTATTAAGAAATTGACAACCAAACATGAGAAGTCCAGGATGTTCGACAAAAGACGTTAGGTGATTTCAGCAGAGAGAGTCAGTCGGGAAGTAGCAAGTACCTAGTGGAATAGTTGAGGTGCACATGAGCTGAACAGCACACGGGACACTACCATTATAAGAGAGATAGATAGAAGAGCAACAGTGACCTAAACAGTCCTGTGATAACTTCTCAACCTGCAATTACACAAGGATGTAGCAGGTACCTAGTGGAATAGTCGAGGTGCACGTGAACTGGACGTAGTATGTTTTGATCTTCCTATTACTAAAGGAAGAAACTTCAATGCAGTCAAGAAATTGGCATTGTTTCAACAGAACTACCTAATGAGACTCACTTCATTTTCACATAAATCGTCAATGTAGAGGGTTAAGTACACTAAAGCTTCACTCCTTATTCTAATTACTCATGCCTAAATCTAAACATCCTATAAACAGAAGACCGTCTACATCTATATCGTAACTTAATCACATCCTAAACTCTACAACATGGTGACTTAATCTTCTTTGTGATTAGATCCATTACTCAGAAGATCAAGGTCAGTCAGAGGAGCACCTCTCTGGTCGATAGCTCCTTTCTTACTGACTGTAGAAACTCAAATATCAATTAAAAACAAGATATTTGAGTACCATTCAGCATAAATCAAAATTCTCCCACCTATAAACTCAAAAAATTAATATGGTAGACATGCTGATAAAATAATCAAAAAGTCCCCTTCAATCGACATGTGTTCGAAAGAAATCTGTTCCACATTTAAAGGGAAAACAAGCAAAGTTTACAACAGCAAAATACTCATTGATTTATAAATAGCATGACAGCAGGTACCTCATTGCCATGCTGACCCCAAAACTTCCACCAACTGTAGATCTCTCATCCATTGTCTGGTCTTAGTAGACAGAAATCATTGACTTAATCAGAATCCTCAAAGTATTCTCCTTCATCAGATGGCTCATCAAAGGAACGCATGTCAAGCTGGTAGCGAAGGATTCCTCCAATGCCACCGAATCCTCTGCAGAACTGTGACCCCTCTTGAGACCTGTTAGTGACAAACTCAAGTGAACAACCAAAAGTTTTGTATTCATTGGCAAACCACTCCAACAGGGGCATTTTATCCTGAACCTCCAATTCAGCTGATGTGGCAGAATCCTTGAAGTTACTATTATCAGCCTCTTGCACCTTGTTTAGGTGCTTAATGACAATCTCGTTAGTCACACTGTTTTTCAGTACGTAACGGTTTATATCAAGATTTTCCCACACAATTAGAGTTTCAACAGCTCCCATCTCCAAACCTTTTATTGTGTCATCCACACCGAATACATACTTGCCAGTATCTTGACTGATTTCCTCAAAGAATTTCCCTATCAAGCGCTTTTCTTGTATAAACTTCACATTTGCCAGTATCTCAGCAGACAGCTCGATTGCCTGATTGAAGCCATTCTCTCCACCATAGGACACATCAACCACATTAAGTATCTTTGCTTGTAGACGTGGATCAAACATATCAGATTGGCTTAGCTCCGTTTTGAAATCAGCTGATCCAGCAAGTATTAGTCCAGATACATTTGGCTGGCTAGTGGCTGGGTTAATGAAGAATTGAGTAGCAAGCTCTGCTGTCTTCCTCACATAATTATGACGTTTCTCCATTCGAAGACGAGCAAACCGAAGAGCTGATTGACCTCCTCTTCCATGCTTCTTTGGGAGATCAACAGT